TGGGGGGCGAATAAGAATTATTAATTTGTTATTTAATCAATTAATAATGAATGTACAAACGAAGAAAATATGTAATTCATGATGTACAAACAATTTCCTATCGAATTGACCATTTATTTAACCCAATTGAGCAATTTTTCATTTTATTCCAGCCAGCATCATGGCAAAAATTGAATAATTATTTATAATTAATGAGTGAATGTACAAACAAAAAAAAATCTAGTACAATCATGTACTAACGATGTACAATCGAATACATAAGATAGTTTTCCTAATTATTGCACCCTTTCGGCTAAGTACATGGGGGTCCAATATCAGCCTAAATTCGCGATCGCAAAAGCGATTTCTCGCCGTCTGGTGGTGGTTTGTAGAATTACTATCTTGCGGAACCAATCTGATGGTAGTGCGCCAAGGCTCTGGAGTATAAAATAGCAAACTATTCATTGATGTAGACACAAAAAATGTAGACCTAAAAAAGTTCATTACCAAAATTTTTCAACTTGCTTTCGGTTACGAGATATTCAACAAAAAATGGACTCAACCGACTCGGCTAATTTCATTATAGAATATTCATCTCTACATGAAATACTTACGCCGCTTTATATAATTGTCAAGAGAGAAATGTTGACTACAAACTTTCATGTTTTCATCGCAAATTCCTCTCAGTTTCAATGCTTCCATCCACTTGTTCCGTAAAATTAAATCGGATGGAAAACTATGGAAACTTAAATTCAGTTTATCCTTTACTTTGCACTGTGGAACACAGCATTCTCTTTTCGACTTCTTGAGATAATTGTTCTGTGCCATTTTCATAAACAATCGGTAGGTTATAAGATCAAAATTTATTTCACGGCTTGTACTTGAAACAACTTGACATTTCAGCACTATTTGAGGTTAGGGTTCTGAGCAGCTCCGCAAGTTAGTAGTTCTCCAAGGTCCCGCATTTTTGGCCATTGCGTTGTCGGCGGTTTCGCGATCGCGAATTGGAACACTTACGAAAATCCGACCCCTCTATTTTGGGGTGGCTACAATTGATGCGCTACTTTGTAGGGCCCTCGGTAACTAAAAAAAATGGCGGATACCAGTCTTCTGATCACGCGGTTACTTGAAAGTTGTAAACACTCGCTGACTTGCTCCAAAAGTTTCCTCGAAATGAATTCCTCTGGGAAAGTTGAAGAGAATGTTAACGTCAGCATTGTGATGATCGTTATTATGCATTTCACGTTAAAAAAAATAGGAGGAAAACTACTGACTGGTATTGCCTTGCTGACTAGCACCACCGGCTCCATGCCCTGTACCACTACCAGCGGCGCGCGCTCCAATTCGAACGAAAAACTATTTTCCACCATATTTTCATAGCGTCGCAAGCGCCGCCATCGGCAGATAGCAGTCCCAATTAGTCCCAATACCCGCAAAAACGATTTTTTGCATAAAAAAAGAGTCGATTTTTTTTGGTTTGCGCAGAAATATGGCAGATAAAAAGCAGATAATTTAGACGTAATCGCCATGTTGATCCGATAACTCTGGCTGCCCAACTTTATTGGGCTACCCTTAATGACTCACAAAGTTTCATTATCGTGCAACCATTTTCATAAATTTACAAAGCTTTAAAAAAAACGCAAAAAAATACTTGCACGGTAATAAAACTGCGAATTAGTAAATAATGGTGAAATGAGCAAACATGACATTTTCTCACGGCAATTCGATGAATAGTTTGCAAAGATATTTTGATAAGACCATGAAAATTGAGTGAAAATAGAAACCATATTATTAACATGAAATAATTTCGCTGAGTAATCAACACGAATACGGAAAGGTGCGGCAAAGTAGAAGCTAAATAAGTTAAATATTAAATTTCATTGTGAAAATAAAACAATAAATTGCATTAAATTTTACATACTTTGTTGGATCAAGGAATAGTGACCTGAACTTTCCCTATATTGGAGCACTTTCATCATTACATTAAATTGAATTTCAAATTTCCATTGGGGCATTCATAAAATTTACTAAAATTACATTCAAATTGGTTGTTGTTCAATACATCAATTCATTCACTCTAGGTTGGGAGTGAGATATCCCATCCGTGTATGAAAAATTAATTGATTCATAAAACTATTTTTTAGTTTGAACATTAATACCCCAGAGGATGGACCCATTCTCCTGGATTACTCTAAAAACCGACTCGACGATAAAGTCCTGGATCTACTCATGAATCTGGGGCGTGCTAGACAAATAGAGAAGGCACGTGACGCAATGTTTGCCGGTAAAAAAATCAACTTCACTGAGAGTCGCGCTGTGCTACATACTGCCTTGAGAAATAGACAAAATACTCCGATTTTTGTTGATGGTAAAGATGTCATGCCAGATGTAAATGCTGTGCTGCAGCACATGAAGGAGTTTACGAATCAGGTATATTTTTTACTATTCGTTCCCATGCTGTTTTTCCATCCATACAAATTTGTGTCAAATCAATATCTTCATCTATTCAAGAAATCCTTGAAACGCTGATCAAGTCCATCCAACACTTTCAATTAAATTATCTTTACACAAATGTGGACTTTCTTTGCATAATATTCTATTATTACACTACAAACTTGTACAGAATTTCTACTAATTATTTTCTTGTATTTAAGGTTTCTTATCGTTTCTAAGTCCAAGATATTTTTAATTAAAAACATTTCGTCGTACTTCAAAACGTTAGTTTCTTACCATTAATGAATTGTCCCTTCAAAAATTTCTTGTAGATGAGATAATGTTCAGGGATAATTTTCTTTTTTCAGGTGATCAAGAAAGAGTGGAAGGGCTTTACTGGTAAACCCATCGAGGATGTCGTCAATATCGGCATTGGCGGATCTGACCTGGGACCTCTGATGGTCACTGAAGCACTGAAACCCTATCACATTGGTCCAAGGGTTCATTTTGTTAGCAATATCGATGGTACTCATATTGCGGAGACGCTCAAGAAGTTGAATGCTGAAACATCGTTGTTCATCATTGCTTCAAAGACATTTACTACCCAAGAGACGATCACAAATGCTACGTCGGCTAAACTTTGGCTGCTTGAGCATTTAAAGAATGCGAGTTGACAAATTTTTTTCGTTCACTGAATCAATTCATCAGACGAGAAAGGCCATTCAGAATGTCATAAGGTCTTTTTTCTAGCTGGAGAAATTTCATAGGGAAAAGGGCTTTTGATATTTTCCATCGCTCATTGGTGAAAAATTTTCTTAATTTACTAGTGAAGTGATGAAGTATGTAATGATCACAGGGGAAAGTGGAGGGAGACAATTTTGTAAATGAAAATTTTCCAACCACACCTAAGATCTAAAAATTTTCACGGAAAATTCAAGAGGTTTTGTCATTGAAAAATTGAGAACTCGATGAAAAAATCAATGGAAACTATAGATTTTCATCCAGTTATTCCATTGAAAGTAATAGAAATCAGGAATATTCAGGTAAAGATATGCTTGTATCTTGAATTAATCAAAAAATCAGCGTTATTTGATGCTGAATGTTTTGATTGGAAATTCAAGTAATATGAGAAATTTTTGGCTTCCTGCTCCTCAAAAGTTTTGGATTGTATTGAATTTTCAGTGAAATTTGAAATTTCATGATTTTTCCCAGCTTAAGGCCCGTGTACGAATTGATGGTGTACTATCTTTCGAACGTTATCTCGATGTTTTTTTTCATCTTTCGTCATCTGAAGTTGTCAATTAAGTCCTGCATCATGCAGAAGTTTTGAAAAATTACGAATGAATAATCAAAAAAAAGTAGAAAAAATTCTTAATTTTTTCAAAGAGCATTTTTAATTTATATTCAGAATAAGTTGAATAACAAGAAATTGAAAAATGTATCTGATTTACGGTGACAAATGGCGGCCTGTCACCCAATATCATGCAGGAAGAAGACTGATTCCGTAAATTTTTTCCCACACTGCACAGAGACATTTATTACGGAAAACGCTCTTTGAAAAAAGTAATATTTTGTAGAATTTTTTAATCACACTTTTATCACATAAAAATGGCAGATGACTACATACCACTGGTTTGAAAATTGAGATACCTAGCTGTCACTTCCCATGAGGAGTTAGTGTTTTGTTATCCACCATGCAAAATGACAGCTAATAGATAGTTTGCCACAGCGAATCAGATATTTGTAATTTACACTTTTTTCAACTCATTCTGAATCCCAATTAAAAACGCTCTTTGGAAAAGTTCAGAATTTTTTCTATTTTTTTTAATCATTCTGTCATAATTTTTGAGAATTTCTACATGATGTACCACTCAATTGACAATTTTGGATTACGAAAGATAAAAAAAATTCAGATAACCTTTGAAATATAGCACACCCGGGCCTTAAATCGAATTCAACTTCAGTCTCCTGAAAACTCTTTCTGAACTGTTCATGAAATCTCAATATTGTTTAAAGGAGAAGAAATTTCCCAATTGAAGATATGCCTCCACTCATTTTCCTTCACATTCACAAAGTTATTCCATATTTAACAGAGAAGTCACATGTGATATATTTGATTCATCCAACTGTTATTACCAAATTTTTCCCATATTTTAGGAAGCTGCAGTTGCATCACATTTTGTCGCCCTTTCCACGAACACTCAAAAGGTCAAAGAATTCGGAATCGATGAGAAGAATATGTTTGGCTTTTGGGATTGGGTTGGAGGACGTTATTCCCTGTGGTCAGCAATTGGTCTCTCCATCTGCTTATCAATCGGATTCGATAATTTCGAAAAACTATTGAGTGGTGCATTCTTCATGGACCAGCATTTCCGCACTGCCCAATTGGAAAAAAATGCCCCAGTCATACTAGCCATGTTGGGCATTTGGTACTCCAACTTCTTCAAAGCCGAAACTCATGCACTACTACCGTACGATCAGTATCTCCATCGATTTGCTGCTTATTTCCAGCAAGGGGATATGGAGAGCAATGGAAAGTACGTGACACGGTCAGGATCAACTGTTAACTACGCCACAGGTCCAATTGTCTGGGGTGAGCCTGGCACTAATGGGCAACATGCATTTTATCAATTGATACATCAGGGGACCAGACTAGTACCTGCTGACTTTATTGCTCCAGTATTGTCCCATAACAAGGTATTGAACATTTCTAAATCCAACAGAAATATCAAAATTTTCGTAAAATCCATCCTTGTAGATCCTTTAAAAATCTGTTTTCAATCCCAACATATTTTCCAAACGAAAACTGAAGTCGAAAAAATTCGACTCTATGGTGAAAATGAAACAATGGATTGTATTGAATTTTGAATCGATGATTTAATCAAGGAAATTGTGACATTAATTCTTCTAGAAAAAGCTCGTAATTTAAAAAAATTGCAATTTTTGAATTATTTCATCAATCTTCCACCAAAAGTAAACATTCCAATTTTTTTTCAGATTTAAAAAATGTTTTCTAACGGTTCAATATCGAGATTCAAAAGTTTAAATAATAAAATCAAGGTAAAATGTGTGGAAACCTAGGTTCAAATGGGGCTCAAATGAAAGCTCCGATGTTCAACTACAGAAGTGGAAAGCCTTTCACTGGAGAAAAAATCGCCAAAGTACTTGGATATCCTTAATCATTGATGTTTTTACCTTGCAGGTACAAGGAGACTTGCATCATAAGATACTGCTCGCCAACTTCCTTGCTCAAACTGAAGCACTGATGAAGGGTAAAAGTTCCGACCAAGCTAAAGCGGAACTTCAACAATCTGGATTGAATGATGAACAAGTGAAGCTACTCTTGCCTCATAAAGTTTTCGAGGGAAACCGCCCAACGAACAGCATTCTCGTTAAGAAAGTTTCACCCTTCATTTTGGGGGCTCTAATTGGTAACTCTAAAAAGTGAAGAATCATGCCGACACACTCGATATTTTATCATTTTTATTTTATTTCAGCAATGTACGAGCACAAGATCTTCACTCAGGGAATACTCTGGGACATCAATTCCTTCGACCAATGGGGGTAAGATCAGTCTCTACTAATTCGTCTCAAATGCATTCCCCTAAGGATATCCGAAGTACCTTTTGTAATTGAATACCGACGTTCAGAGATTTTAAATCATCATTTGTGGCATTCGAATAACTTTTTCCAAAAAAATTTGAAACCTTTGGAAACCTTTTTTTTTTTGCAGAAAATAGATTTATGGAAAAATTCTCAATACAATTTCGAAACAATGATTTTTATGGTGAAAAATTTATAATTTGTAGGTGTTGAGTGAAGAAATTTGATAATTTTTTCAGATTTTTAAAATGTTCCGTAAGAACTCAAAAATAAGTTTGGGAAAATGAAATAATCAAATCACCGTCAAATGTCCGGAAACATACACTGAGACAAAATAAAATATGTGTGTATGTGTGTAACAATTGGGCGAACCGCATGTTGAAAATTACCAAGAATAAAAAATTCATGCTGAACAGTTGAAGAGTGTCCTGGAATGGATAATTTTTGTCGCAAAAATAGATTTTATTATTCCGAAAAATTGATATTTTCCGTGCAAATGAGAAATCTCATTTTCTGCATTACTTATTCGTTATTCTATACTCCTAGATGTATTTCGTGCTCAAAAAAGCTTCGTTTCATGCGAAAGAAGGAAGAGTAGTTTTTTTTATCGACTATGCACTACTCAAAGATGAGGAATTGATTCCTAAATCGAATGATAATGATGATATGATAGTAATCTTGTAACTTTGGAACAAAATATTTTTTGATTTTCTTTTCTTCATGAGAGAATTTTTTTTCCTGAAAAGGCACCAGTAGAATTTTCATGCTCAAAACTTTCCTATGCTCACAGGGAACCATTTCTATCTTGGGAATTTTCAACTTTCAATTTTTTTAAGACAAGGTTCACCCCGGAAAAAAACTTTCGTTTTTCAAGAAAAAAAAAATTTTAAATACTATTTTCCACGTGATTTTTCCTGAGGAATCTGATTTCGTAGTTAAACATTGTCTCTGGCCACTCAAAATTAGGGATTCAAATTAGTCCTAGTCGAAAAATCAACTTAACACTAATCACCAACGTTTTTTTTTTCAATAGTTTTTTGACTGTGATCACAAACTTTGCTTATAAGAAATGCGGGAGAAGATACCTTGTTCCTTGTGAAATTGATTCGTTCATCAAAATTTCTATTAATATCTAAAAAAAAAATCTTGCCCAAATATTATGTATAAAATTCATTTATTAATGCTAACTGTATGTTTGGTGGTCCTCATACATGAACCTAGTCTTTTATTACTCTATAATTGAGAGGGATCCTTTCAGTAATCTAGATTTCGCCAGCGCACTTCCCCCCTAAAATTCGGATAGGTGCATTTTTTCTACGTCTTCCATTAATTTTCAATTTTTTTGTGGAAATTTACTCATTTTAATTGATACTCATAAAAAATTTGGACGACATAATCGTCTTTTTTTGGTTGGCCAATAAACTTGAAAATGTATCTTCTCCCGCATTTTTCATAATTATGAAATGAAAACTTGTGATCGTATTCAAAGAACTATGTCTAAACAATTACGTTGGTTTTTTTTTAAATTTGATTTTTCAATAAAAAAAATTGAATCTCTAATTTACAGCAGTCGGAAAAAAATTTGACTTATAAAATCGGATTCCTGAGAAAAAATGGCGGGGAAAATACTATTTTTTAATTTTTTTTCTCGAAAAAGTTTTTTCATGGGGTGAACCTCCTCTTAATCAAATAAGACTTGTTTGAGAATATGTTGTTTCTTTCAGTGTACGGTCAAATGAGGTTTAAATGAAATCTCTAATTTTCACCTAAAAATGTAGAAAATAATTTCAACAAAGAAAAAAAATGGCCTAAGTACTTGGATATCCTTAATGAGATGTTAATGACAAGTTTTATTAATTCCTCTCCTACCTGTTGATCCAATTTTTTCAATCAAATAATTTATTCTCACACAGCGTGGAATTGGGCAAACAGTTGGCAAAGGCAATTGAACCGGAACTAAACAGTGCTGATAAAATCACTGGTCACGATTCCTCGACAAATGGCTTAATTAACTTCATAAAAACCAATAGCAATTAGATCCTCATTTTCTTTTTCACCATTCTATATCGTTTCTTCCAGTATAAAGTACGTTGAAAACAACCACAGGATGCACAATCCTCCAATCGGCCTGACAATATTCGAAACCGAAGTGTTGCATGTTCACTGAGTAATCACTAAAAATCTGACCTTCGATTCATGTTTATCGAACGTAAGATACTCTCATACACATGCAAAATGGCCTGAATGTTTTTCCTCATACCAGAAGAATGAAAATGAATTATTTATAACTTCTATTATACGTAAGGTTTTCCTTTTTGTATTTTAAATAAATCAACCCTGTTGTCAATAGTAATCACTATTCCCTATTTGAAATATTGTCAATCAAGAATTTATACAGAAACTGAGAAGAATTACATTCAAAAATTATTGTTGAAATAGCACTTATTTGATTCTGTTTAAAACGTGCTAATTGTGAAATAATATCAAAGATGCACAATAGACATTGTAATAGGATATTGTACAATTAAGCATAATAAAAAGTAGTTTTCAACAGCATATAGCCTTCTGTTCACTGTAAATCGTGCAATTTAATTTTTTTTCTAATTAATGTGACGTTAGTAACGAGGAAAAACATTACATGACGAAAG